TTTTTTGGATCTGTCTTAAAAAACTAGGATTTAGACGAGCGACCAGTTCGCAAACTATTTGTGCAGCTATTCTTCCCCTTTTCAAAATCATATTTTCGAATCATTTGCTTTTGTGGTCGCCAAAATAACGGCCAAAGTTTCAAACCCATGGTTTTTGCCACACTCAACTTTGGCAATTTTTCAGAAAATTCTGTCTCAACTTTTGGACCAGCTCATAATAGCTGGGTTAACCAAACAAAGCGCAAAACAGCAAATTTTTTGTACATTTTTGTCTAGCCCTCCATTATCTTCATCACTATCACTTAATCGATTATCACTTAACACTAATTCTACAGGCAAATGAGCTTTCTCCCTCACGAAATATCAATCTTTGAATTTTCGGGGACAGCCACCATAAGAGAGTCCAAAAATTCAAAAATGTTTAGATTTATCTCCAAAAGTTCCACAATTCAGAGAAAAAACGCACACTAGAAAGAGGAAAATAAGCTGCATCAAATAGTGCCGGAATTGTTTTTGTTTGATGCAAAGTGGGGTTTGGCTGAACCAAATTTGGAATTTGGTGGCATTAGAAAACCTTTTAGGTTACCCTGGAAAACCAGCTGGAGATACAATCAAAAAACCTGGTAATGTAGCACTGGGTTTGCCCTATCCGTTAAGTAAGCTCTTCCAAAAGTTCAAAGTAAAAAAGATACACACATTTTCCAAAACAGGAGACATAAAAACTCTGGGTTCAACATCTCTGCGATCATCTGAGTAATCACAAAAGCAAATGCTTGCAACACATGATTGCTGGAAAGAAAAAGAAAACTGCGCAAAAAATTTTTGAGTTGTTCGCTCATCTTTATTCCACGCGTTTTTATGATAAATCGAGAAGCGAGTAAAAAAAAGTGAGATTGATGTACTCGGATTGGTGATAGCAAATTAATACATTCATCCATTTCGGATTGAGCAGATGTTATTACACAACAGTATATCGATGTAATACAGTACGTCGTTGGCATACGCCCAATCACTGGCTCCTCAGTTCTTCTACTCATAAAGCACACCGCAAGGACGGCGTTGGGCGTTGGCCCATTGCATGTCCCCTCATCTGGGAAAAGTACTTTCCAGACTATTTATAGATTCACAACCCAGCATGCTCGAGAGTCAGTACTTGCGATATACTCAGTCTTAGAATTTTGATGCCGTTGTATGCTTATCTAACATCTCCGAGAAAGCTTGTAAATGCCTCATCATTGCATTTGGTAAGACACATCGGAGGACTCAGAACGTCAGGTTCGCTTCGTGTTATGCAGTTGCTCTGGAATTTGAGCGCAAGTGCGCGGAAGCATTTGTCAAATGATGCTCAAATTATTGAAGAGTAAAGGTAAAGGTCTACCCATAACGGTCATGGTCTGATCGTATGCAGAATACTAACTTTATGGCCTAACTCAAAAAAGCGGGCAAGAAACATATGACACCATAAATTAACTAAAGAAAAAAGTTAACTTTCTTGTTACCTTGCGCATTTCTTGATTGGGCCTTACTACATCAGAGATATTCTTGAATACATCCAATTCGCAGTAGGTTTTTCCGGCACATGCTTTTATCTCAGAGGTTATGGTGTAAATTGTATCACCTGGACTATCAAGACTTCTGTGGTAGCATAGCTGGAAGATGCACAATGCTTTTATGCACAATGCTTTTGTCTATAGAAACCGAATAGATACAAACCTTGAAATACGGTCTTTCTTCTGTACGGTTCATCCACAATTCGACGAATATGGCTGCAGCATATGGCACATACCCATCCGGCATTACTAATTTGGATTTAAGCAATTTCAATATGGCGAAGAAGGAGAAAATGTTGACGTCATGCTAAAACTCTAGAATAAAATGGTTTTTCTTATCATGCATATTGCATATAACATACTCCAGAATAGGCGTAATACTTGAGATAATTTATCCACTTGCATCTTTGGAGACCAGAGAACTCTTCTTTCTGGCAACTAATTTTCATCTCCATGCGGGTGTTGATTTCGTTGAAAAGTAAACCACCGCGAACTTTTTGATATTCTTGCCATACATCAAGATTATTGAAAGTTACAGGTTTACCTGGGTTAGAAAACTCATTCTCGAGGTTGTTGTGCTGTTTTTTCCTTTAGATAACATACTGTTTGCAAAATCAAAACTGCTTCGCGTTTCAGGGAACCAAAAATGAGTATGAGAATTGTTTCACTCTTACATGATGGTTTACTCTCACAATATGCATATATGAAACTTACTAAACATTGCTTGTTTGTAAAGCTCGATGCGCTTATCAACTTCTGTAATCTTCTCGAAGACCTTGTCCGAAAACCATTTATTTCTTATCCGCAATATATCATTGGCGTGTATCTGCTAAAATGGTAGTTTTGGAGCATGAGATGTCGATAAAGACGATAGTCTGAATTTAATACCACATATTCGGTCGCACGAAAAGTTTCCCGTTTTTTCGAATTCAAAATTTAAACACTCTGTTTGTCAAGATGTGTGTGTTTTAGACTCCTTCGTATGTGAACCGAAAAGGCTGAAATTTTCTCCCCTATTAACAAGCCACGGCGCAAAAGAAAGGCTACTTTTCGCGACATTTCACTAGGTCGTTCTATCGATTTATTTGTTCACTTCGAGAAAAATGAAAGCTTATCAATGATAATCATGTT